GAAAGTATATCTATCTCATTTGCTATATAATAGAAACATTTGTTACGGATTTCTGTTTTTTTAAACCAGTATTTAAGGTTACCCTGTGATTGTCTTAGTGTTTATAGAAACTGGTAAAAGTGTAGCATACAAAGCTAGTCATGTGTCAACGAAACCATTGATCTATTTTATTCGCAGGCAATCATCAACGCAATGTGGTTTGGGGATTCCTTGGAAGAGGCGATCATGAGACCTCGAATACATCACCAACTATTACCGACGGAAGCAGGATATCAGCCACAATTAAACCAGGTATAACTTATTATGTAATGGAAAACTACCGACGAGTTTTTGACTTGAAATCGATTCTAAAGTCGGAAACTTCGAGTTGGTTGATTCTTCCAGACACTTACCACACAATACAATCGTGTGACGTCGGTCAGGATCGTGGGTTAACGTGATATGGTCACATGGCCTACCCCTTTACTAAACCTAAGCTTCGCAAACATTTCTATGTTAAGTCACGGGATATTCAACTTTTATTTAATTACACTTAATTGAGTCGCAATTCTATGTGACTATGATGTCATTACTACTAGTAGTCATTTTGAATGTGGAATAACTCTAATTGCAGTTTGCATACGTGTGACTAACTTTCGAATGTGCATTTTATTAGCCACGGCTATTTATGTCTCATTCTTTTGTTGTTTCGTCAGCAAATTATTGAAGGACTACAGTCGAAAGGTCACGTGATGTATGTAATGGGGTCCGATGCAGAGCAAGCTGTGCAGGGAATTTTACGTCGTGGCGGATGGATATACGGGTTTTCGGACGAGAGAAAGGGTGGTAAATCGGCAGGTTATTGACAAACGCGCATGGTGTTTTAGTTACTGATGTCATTTTTCAACAATTATTTAAGTAAATGAATTATGAAAGTTACAAATCTAACAAATTAAGAAATAATTGTACTAATAGGAACTAAAACATTTAAATATATGTAATTACTCACAAACGACTTTATCGTTGGTTTTTATTCAAACTGCAATTTCATACTACAAATAAATAAAGCATTATCTCAAAACTGTATCATAGTAACGAAATGTACTCTTTAATTTGTGGATCAAAATGTTTGCTTTTGGTTATTACATCATATATATCCTGCAATCCGAATACCCCTCTCATACATTGAATATACCCCGGCCTGAGTTCGTTTTTTATTTTTTTATTTTTGTAAAAGAAAAAGCTTGACTAATACTTATTGGCGATTTATGACTTGCCATCTCTGCTTAGCTTGCAGCAATCTCTCCTGTTTTCGATATTTAACATTTTTCAGGTAATTACGTTTTCCTGATTAGTTAACTTGACTTCTAAATGCTCTCCTCTCCAGCCTATCGACAATTATGAAGTATATACATTCATGGCAATACATACTCTTGTTGATCACTTAAAAAACATACATTATGGGGTTAGTCAGGTTAGTGCCGAAACAACCAAGATATACTTGGATAGACTTGGAGTGGACATTTTTTTCAAATCGATAGTTTATGATGTTACCCACAGGCAAATTTTAGGCATTGTTAGATATTGCATTGTGGTAAAGATTTGAAGTCACAAAATTTGATAACAAAACGTATATAGACCACATCGCACTGCATGCGGGTTAAGAATCACAAATAGACCACTACCAGGCGGCACTGTTATCACATCTCACTGTTACGCATGCCGTGATTGGGCGAAACTCGCATGACGTTGAAGATGGATATTACATGGTGACGTCACTGAAACTACTGCGCAACGCTACTGCGCATAACAAATTGTCGTTTACTGTACTGTTGCTGTCCCGCTGCTGCTTTCAAGGTTTTGGAGTAAATTTAGCCATTCAATATAGACAGCAAACGTACCAGAATGGATAAGATTGACTGTTTTGATGATTAGGATATTCTTTATACGAAGCAAATATGTACAGCGAAGCACCACTGGGAAGTTGCATCCGGGATCGCTGCGGCGCGTACTATGCGCTTGTGAGCGTTCTACGCGTGCTACGCTGATGTTCACAGAGAACGCTCGAAGCTTGTGAATACGTGGTGTGTTCGTGAGAAAGTCATTACAGCAACTTCAACAGCTTGCTGACATTTTGATCTGGCGAGTAAAGTAACTTACGTTTGAGATGTTCTCAATTTATTCTAATAATATTATACTCAATTTATTGAGTGTAACTATAACTGAGTACACACTGCTAAAAGTAATATTTACTGTTTATTTTGCAGTTGTTTTTTGATATTTAGTAATTGTGTTATTAAAATGTAATACATGAAATAAAATATTGCATTCTTCAAATATAAGTGTTGTTATTTTGTGGGAGAACAGGTGTGAGAAATGTGTTAGATGTGATTGTGCAAGGTAGATGTTTGTTGGATGTGATAAAATAACTAACACATGGTCATTCAAGCAATCACGATTTGTAATCTCCTCTTGGGCTGGGAACAAATCTTGATAATGCCCTCACAAACATGTGTTATTATTTAAATATACACTTATGAAATAACACAGATATACAAGTGTACAATACAAACAGATATAATTATTATTAAATTTTAAAAATTACATAATATGCAGATTATAATTCCTTTTTTTTTTTTAATTATTGCTAATTTCTGCTCCCTCATTTTTTGCTGTCATGGCTTTTTCACTGGATGTTGACGATTTAGATAATTTCCTCTTCAGTCTTTTGACCCAACTCTCCTTTTTTGTTGGTTTTATAGCACCGTTCTCGACAGATCCCAATGTATCGCTACTTTGTTTATCATTTGGCTCTTCGTCTTTGCTCTTTTTTGTCTTCTTTTGTTTTCTCTTGATGTGCGAGAAGAAACTATGTGTTTTGGGTGTTGTGTTGTCGATCAACTTTCCTTCAGCTTTAGCTAATTTCTCTTCCTCTTGTTTCACCTGACTCCTTTTCCCTGATTTGTCCTGCTTCTTTGACTTACTCATTTTGCCCTGTTCTTTTTTTAATTGACTTGGTTTGTTTGTTTCTTCATTTGTCTTTTCTGCTTTTGCCTTTGTAGTATTATTCAGTTTATCCTGCATTGTCTGTTTACCCTTCTTCATGTCTGTTTTTGTGTCTGATAACGGAATTTCATTACCATTACTGTGAGGTTTCACACGCTTATTTTTTTGGATCATTCTTTCTTTTAAGTTATAAGATTTATTTGTGTTCTCGCCAGTGTTTACGGATTTCTTCTTTCGTTGCCTCGGGGTCTGTACCGAAGCATCTTGGGTAATGACATCATTACTGTGCCAAGCACTCTGTGGTGTCTGTATTTCCTCTGTAGTCATACTTTGGCATGCATGTTGTATTACAGAAAAACTTTGCTTCTCTAAGCAATCAATAACATTTCTCCTGACTTCTCCAACTGCTCCCTTAGCGTTATCTTCGCATGGATCTAAAGATTCCAGAGAATTGGTGTCAACTTTGTCACTTTTTGTGTCAACTGCTGAGTTCCCCATATCTAATTTGTTGAGAAGTGATAAAATCATATCCAATTTTTTGTCCAACAGTTTAATGTCCTCTGATCCATTGTCCATTGTCATTGGTGGCCCCCTCACTTCTGATTTATTGTTCACTGGTGACCCCATCACATCTGATTTATTGTTCACTGGTGACCCCCTCACTTCTGATTTATTGTTCACTGGTGACCCCATCACTTCTGATTTATTGTTCACTGGTGACACCATCACATCTGATTTATTGTTCACTGGTGACCCCGTCACATCTGATTTATTGCTCACTGGTGACCCAGCTTGCCCAATTTCTTCATAGTACCTCAATACAGCAGATGACGTAACTTCTTTGATATAATGACCAACGTAACTAGAAATGTGAGCCATTTCAGCTTTCACATTTTGTTTCTGTAATTCCTCCTGGGCATATTGTAGCTTAGCACGTGACGTAGCCAAGTGTACAATACTTAAACTAATCATAGCCTCCTCGTCACTCATTTCTATTTTCTTTACCTGACTTGTTCCTTCATATTCAGGACTGAGCAAGGTCAAACCAGCATTGGTGTCATCATATGCTCCCTTGGTCACTTCTGGTTCCCTGGCCTTGCCATACACACTTTTTGCTGACGTTGCCGTGTTCACTGACATTTCATAAAGGTTTGTATTACCTATGTCCTTACTCGCAGTACTCAAAGCTACTGGTGGTATCTGTCTGCTCTTCATCACAACCAAATTATCTGGCTTAGATTCAAGATCAGTGCCCTCATACGTCAAACTTTCATTTTCTTCTTCTTTCATGAAGATGAGCTGAGCTTGGGTGATGGCGTTATCAATGATAACACTGCTCCAAAAGAGCTCCAGATCTGTTGCCTGATTTCTGTAAACAATGAAGATGAGATTGAGAGTTCATTCAGATGCGCAGGTGCGTTTGTTAGTGATTAAACATAATATTTACACATGGAATTGACATTTTTAGATAATTGTAAGTAATCTTATGGTACTTAGGTATCAGCAAAATATTTGAGTTCCTTTAGCTGTAAAAAGCTAGCATGGATGATTTTGAGGCAGATAAAAGAAAAAAAGAAATAAATAATTAAGCTGTATAATTGTACCAATACAATTTCTAAACAATTTGTTCAAAGCCAATGGAGATTGTGTAGACCAAAATTACCCAGTTACAAAAAAACGTTCAAAAATACTAGTAGTATTGACAACGGCTATTAAAAACATCACAAATTTTAATACCAGAAACACCACATATCAACTAATACTACTAGTCACAAGTCATTACTAATTGTAAAATCAGAAAAAAATAATATTCTGTTCATGGTTTGATTAGGGTTAGGGCAAGAAAGAATGAGATCGATTTAAAAGTAAGTATGCTAAAACTAATGCAGTTGATCACAGTCTCTCTGTGAACGCATATAGAGGGACTGTCCGTGGATGTACATACACAGTGATTGCTTACATACGGTGAATAAATATGAATTATTTGACTTACAATGTAACCATTTCAAATGAGATCGTAGACTCAACGTCACTTGTATATCCCGGAATAGTCGCATCTGTGAACGAAGGGACAGACAAACATGAATATACCGCAGTCAACAACGAACATGACACGTTGGCGTGTAACACTACGATCGATTGATGCCAGATATATGGTGTTTTGTTTCCTGGTGTCATCGTCACGCTACTGAGAGAACAAAATTTGTAACGCATCTTTTCCTTTGTTAAGATGTGCGCCATGTTTGTTTTCCTTTTATAATACTTGTCTGAGCGTCATCCGACTGTAGTGTTACAAGTGCCAGTGAGCCACCGTAATGGCATATCATGGAGATCAGACTATCATGCCTTTGTGTCTATGTTAAATCATCAAGTCAATGTCAATCTATAAAATTATCAGCATTATTATAATTTACTGTTTATTTGTGGGCGTATCTTGTACATAGTAATAGTAGCAGCCGCCAATCTTGTCTCCGCGTGATGTGATCATTTCCGTTCGCGCAGTTACGCGGGATTGCGATATCAAGAAGATGTCATTGTCGTGTTTTCACACACTTACCCATATTACAGCTTCAACGACGGAATTGATAAGACAACACACGCAATATGACAGCAATTACAAATCTGTAGTGCAGAAGTGCGATAGAAAGCCACTGATTGTGTACAAACACGCGTTCGAATTGTTCCAAATAATGTTGGCATGGTGCTGTTAAGGTGACTCTCTCACTCCTAACACTGGTGGCGCTTTCACTTGCGTTACATTCGCTGGACACGCAGACAAAATGTGATTCTGCTGAGAGAAAAACGGTGACACGGGTAAACAGGAATATTAAAAATCGCAATACATGGTGTGTTGGCTTTATTACTGATTCTAAACTAGCCAAAGGCTACACTTGCTTAATAAATCGAACCTCACAAACTTGGATAAAAAGACTGATTTTAAATTAGGTGACATCATAGACCCTCTTTTTAGAGGGTCTATGGTGACATAGAAAGTTTGTACGCTTTCCCTTCAAAATAAGCCATATAGCATTATTTGGCAAACCGCAATATGATAAAAGCGGGTCATACGGACGTGAAAAATTGTTTGTCAACGATGTACGCATAATAATCACAACAATAAATATTCGCATTGTGATTTATTCAGCTCATCGTTTATTGGTTATAACTCGTGTATACCTGAATTGATCGTGTTTTAAAGCACATGAGAGTGTGACGTTGTTGGACAACATCGGAAACTGAACAAAACAGAATAGGTGATATATCAAGTATATGTGTAGTACTTTGTGTAATATATCGATGCCTTGTAGAAAAGTTGCATTTAATTAATTAATTTGGCTTGTTCACTAATTTTACTAATTTGTTTATATCTAAATTAATTAGTTTTTGATCTTGGTGATTAGTGATGTTTGTATATCTGAGTGTGTCTGTCGTAACGTCAAAACAACCCCAAGACTGCCGGTTGGTGTTTAACATGGTTAACGAAACATTCTCTAAAATCACATTAAAATGTTGATCGACATTGCTATAAAATGGAACGGGGTGTTGAGTCAAATTTTTCAGCTGTTTCTCGTGGATCTTTGTTGAAAGTAGCCTGGCATGTAGGCGTGAGTAGGCCCTCGCCGACCGAACGGCATCAAACCTCACTAACGCCTGACAGGGTTTGGAGCATCGCAGAGGGCGCAGCTCACGCGACTCGTCAGGCTATGTTGAGAGGTGACAATGTGTTTCCGATTATAAAGACCATGCTTAGATTTCAATAATACCTCGAATTGAAATAACAATGCCAGTGTGGTTCCATGTATCTGTGCAAATAATACCATCATTATGCTGTTTTATCATTAACGCCCGTTTTTACACTTGTGAAAATAAACTGATTGTTTAAACTGTTGATTGGATGCGTCATGGTTTGGAATGCTGGTATTTAAAATCATTATATAGCCTAAACAATGGGAACTACATGTACAGAGCTGGTACCCTGTGAGAAAACCTTTAGTTCAGATACGAAATAGAATCATAATACGAGTGCGGAGTTTAATAACAATCTCCAAGTACTGACATCAAACAGCTTTCAACATTATTTTATTCAACATACTAGAAGATCATGCAGTAATCGATTTTATCAAGTTCATGCTTCAACATGGAAAAAACAGTACTAGAATGAAATAATCAACTGCTTCAAATTTTAATACTAATGTAATGTTCACAGAAGTAAACAAATACACAGTTAACGACAGAAACCTTGCTACGTTATAAACGTTTTATAAATATAACTATATCGATCGAAATGGCTGATTGAATTCAATCCAAAAATGGTATTGTGACACCACGAGTTTTCATTAATATTAATGAGTTAATTATTGAGTTAATTCAACAATATCCAATTAACAAGCTCTTCATTTTTTAATAAGGGCGTGGTCGCAGTTGCTATGACACTTCAAATCACCAATTACTAATATATGAAATTGAATGAATTTTTCGTTATGTACAATTTTGAACAATTTTAATTTATTTAAAATGTGGCAAGTGAAATAAAATTTGACAAATATCAGTTAAAATGTTAGAGTGTCACATAACTTACTTGCAATGTTAAGTTTGCCGGAAAAAGGTCAATACCTGATTAGTGATTTGAACTAAGATATCAAAGTACCATATCATCGTCATCATATCTATCTTATCTTGCAAACATGATAATCAGTTGTTGTTATTATTAGTTTCAATCCATATGTCAGAGTTCCATGTGATAAATTGGTCAGGGGTTGCCATATTCGACGTATCCATTATAGATAATAAACGTGACAATCTCAGTAAATTTGTTAGTCATCATTTCGAGCAGTTTGGACGCTTGACGTAATCGATTAACAATCAAAACTGGAAAACTTACCGGAATAACTGCATCGATAGTAGAAGTATTTCGGATTTGGTCTCAGATATTAACCCGTGAGTTTAATGATGTATTGTGCAAGTACCATAGATTAGATTTCCAAACATGTTTTCAATGAGTTTGTGAAACCGTACACACATATGATATTGGAAATGATATTGTAACACCATTCTGAGTTATAATTGGTATTAACATTATACAATTTATGCGCTTTCATAATCAATACGTGGATGGTAGCAATTGTTATTGCATGCATCGTGTAAAAGATAATGCACATGTTGAGTGCACTCGTTTACATATTTGACCGACACGAAGGTCACAGGTCCGAGTGGAGGTCAAATAAGTGAACGAATGAACGATATGAGTCCACTGTCTGACTGCAGGCAACAACAATTGTATCTCCATGATCTGACTTAAAATACGTCAACTACACCTGGAGTTTGTACTGGCCAATCACGTTCAATTGATTGCGTTGGTATGCATGTGTACGAACTTACAATACGTCAATTACACCTGGAGTTTGTACTGGCCAATCACGTTCAACTGATTGTGTTGGTATGCATGTGTACGAACTTACAATACGTCAACTACACCTGGAGTTTGTACTGGCCAATCACGTTCAACTGACTGTGTTGGTATGCATGTGTACGAACTTACAATACGTCAACTACACCTGGAGTTTGTACTGGCCAATCACGTTCAACTGATTGTGTTGGTATGCATGTGTACGAACTTACAATACGTCAACTACACCTGGAGTTTGTACTGGCCAATCACGCTCAACTGATTGTGTTGGTATGTATGTGTACATGCGTTTCGGGATTTGTTTTCGATGTTCACATAATAATATTTTACAAATATGTCACTTGTTATTTGCATAATGTATATATATGACTAAATTTTGAACAAGGTTCAAAAACAGGCGATTGATATCGAACTCCCGATAGATCAAAGGACAAAATGATGGGCTTTGAGCTTTGAGTTGTAAGTTTGAGCCCAAAAAGGGGCGTATTTTCTATATACAGAGGTCACAGACAGTCATTGTCTCTTTAATTGACACGCGATTGTTGACTTTGTACCTAGGTGGCGGGCGTGCATTAGAGTTAGATTATGTTGTAAGGACGTAGACACTCAAATATATTTAAATGAAAAGTTGATTTTTTTATAAATAAGTTTGTGAAGTTCAGCTTTTTGCCTTTCATTGCGTACTCGTGCATTTTATTTTAAAACTATTTTGTTGTCCTTCTTTTGGTATTTGTTTAGTACATGCATCATATACTATAGAACATGTTGAAATAGCTGCATGTAATAGTAGCAGATTTGACTGAATTAACAGAATCTTAATTTAGCTAAATTGTCGACTATCTCCCTGTGAAAATATACTTTCTGTTAAATTAGATACATCTTGGATTAGCGAAAATAACATGCCTATAGTAATTCGTATTGTATGTTATTGTAGTCTTTAGTGATTAACAAATGTTTAAGCATCACTCTTTTGGAAAGTTAAGGGTTGATAATATTAACCGTTCCATAAATGTTCACAAAAGAAGGTAGTTTTGCATGCCCAAGACAGGAAGAGTTTGTTGTCCGTTTCGCTCGTCTTTTGTCATTGTTATTCGTAATGACGAACTTGTGGACATTTTTACCCCCCCCCCCCCCAAATCAGCATTTGAACACATGTGCGTCTCTGTAAACTTAATAACATCACTCACCGAGGTTAATTACAAGCATAATTTTGTTTGGCGTATTGACTCAAAATGGCCAACTGACAGCCATGTTAATTGTATTTTCATTAAATACAAATTTTGCATGGGGGTTTTAATAAAATTAAACCAACTGGCAGCTATATTTTGTTTTAGCAACTTTAAATAGCAACTTATTGACAGTCTGTCAATATCACATGATAAAAGTTGTCAACTCAAGTTAAACATGGCTGTGATGGCATTCAAACTAATGGCTTACACAGAGAAGTAAAATATTCATATGCAAATGTGTATTGGCAAACTTACAAAATTAAATATAAAAATAAATTAATAACATATTTACGGACATTGAAAAAATATATTAAAAAGTCTAAACTAGCTTATTTTAATCAGGTTACTAATTTAAGTGAAAAATCAGTGATTGCTATTTTGTAGGAAAAATACACGCACAAACACAACACAAGGTAAAGTCATTTTTATTGCTTTCAGTCAAACATATTACACCACTATGTTTTATCAATCACATATAGGTTTCATCAAGAACCATAACACATATACTGAATCAAAAAAACATACGATTTAATCTTCAAATAATCACATAGTTTGATTTCCAATTGTGACACATACACAATATATAGCACTTTCTCCACTGCAAACCATTTAAAAAATTTTAATAAATCATCAAAAAAAAACAAAATAAAATATATCATATTCTAACTACAGCAGCAATAAATTAACAAGTATTCCTTAAAAAACAGAACATTTTTGCATAATGTTTATCTTATATTTGATTGCCACCAAATAGTAGAATGTTGTCCAATTTATTAGTTTTTCAAAAGTACAAAAATGCATTTTTAAGAAGCATTTGTTAGTGTGGAAATGGAAAATGTCCTTGACCCAAACCAAATGTTTGGTTTATAAATGGAACTATCCTGGCGGTGTTAGGCCAACCAGAACCCCCTCATCAATCAGATTCAGCTGTTATGACCTGTAAAGTCTCTTAAAATACAGGAGTGTGTTAGCAATGTCAATTCAGGGTCATCTAGAAGATTGTCTTGTGGCTTACCAGTACATTAATGGCTATAGAAGCAAAACGAGTATTATTTTATTTAAAAACATGCGCAGACTTAAGCAGTAACTTCTGTACTACAACGCAATCTCTAAACTTAAAAATTATTTTTAGCTGAAAACTGCAAGGAGGGATGGTACCCTGCGCTCTGAGGTGCCCTACCTGTCACAGTAACACAAACTGGACAGAGCAACATGAGGCTTCTAATAACAGCTTCTAAAAACACATACAATCTGAAATCTGTGAAAAAGACACACATAAAAGCATGCATGAAATTAAATTTCATCACATTTTTTTGTGACATGTCAACAATGTCTGTATTACAGCGCTGTAAATACTGCATCTTGATTTTATTGAGGTTTGTACCATGGCTGTCTTGAATTGGTCATGGTTATATGCTATAACCTTGTTAATACATGGTATACAAGATCAAAGTATCAAATACCTGCACCAAATCAACTACAATTTAAGCTATACTTATTCAGTTGATTGGTTGAAATTCACCAATTTGTGACAGTCAAGGAACAAATTAGTTAAATAATGGTCATTGATCATTATGGCACACACATTATTTCTGATTTATATTTCTGGTTTAATATGCCATAATCATCACATGACCATGATTTAATTAGTACGTATATTGCGGTGGTGAATGGACATTTACACTCACACAGTTAACCGAGGAATTTGATTGATCAACAATGTTATTAAAAAAATTCAAAATCCCATTTCCCATTTAAAAGAAAACAATATATACACAGAGGTAAGATCACCAAAAACACAATTATTTTAAACTGTGTTTAATAATCATCTATCTATCTATGAATGCAACCTCTCTCTGTGAAGGCAGTGTTAATTCACACCATACAATTTATGTACAAATTTGGTCAGTAGCTTGTATCCAGGACACTGATAATATTTTTACTTTTTGTCTCCATTTATCAAGTTCACACTAGTTTCAACCAAATTGCCCCTGGCTTGTTGGTCAAGTTCAATCGCCTCAAATAGTGACTTGAAATTACCAGCTCCAAATCCCTGTTATTTATAGATAAAAATAAAACAGTACAGTGGTTAGTATTACCCTAATACCCTCAGAGTGAGTTGATATTTGCACTATCAATGATGTAAACAGCTGCTAGGAATGGGTGGTGAAAATTTTATGAAGCTTTAACACTCCAGTCATAGAGAAGCCGAGGAAAATTTTCACTGCTACATAATTTCATACATTTACACAAAATATACAAAAATTTATCTTTAGCGAAATGGATGTGCTTTACAGTACTGATACCCTCAGTGAGATAGCTATTATTTTAGCATGAACCTAGGTTGGCCGGAAAATCTATTCTATTCTATTCATGATTAAGTGAATGAAAATCTTAAATGTTGAGAAGTAATAAATCAGTGAAAAGGGATTTTTAAACACACCTCTATCAATATTTGAAATTTGCATATTTTGTTGAAAAGACAGCACTAATTAATAATGCATTATAGGATATTTTGGAACATTATAACCCATATCAAATACCAAAACAAATGATTTAAATATGAGATATTGTCAGCCAATAAATGTGTTTGATATCAGCTGATAATTGCTGTAGCTACATAATGAGATGTTGATTGCTTTGTACTCACACTATGGTTGTGTCGTTGGATTATTTCAATAAACAAAGTTGGTCTGTCTTGTACTGGTTTGGAAAATATCTGTAACAAGTAGCCTTCCTCATCAAAATCAACAAGAATATTCAGTTTTCGAAGCTGCAAAAAAAAAATCGTTATTACTAATTAATAATTTTGGGTTTAACACAAATGCTTAATATTATTAATGAACCAGTGCTTGGTGATGTTACAGGGAACGTACATCTGAATTTGAAGTCTGTTGCTGAATCTGTGAAGACTATCAACATGTGTCAATCAAGATAGCAATGGGAGAAATTGTCCAAAATGTTTCAGTGGGTAAAATACAACAGGTTAAAAACAGGCCAAACTAATTGTTAGCATAGTTGTGGGGAAAATTTAGAATGTTTATAAGGGTTAGAATGTTCAGAACGTGTTATAGGACTGAATAGTTGATAATGTAATGAGATAAAATTTGTGTTAAACTTGAGTTAAAAACATCCAGTGCTTCTCAACCAATCAGAATGCTCAATTATGGGACTTTATATCCACTAGATGTTTTGTTTATGAGTGACTCGTTTTCTCAACTCAAAACTTAATTCCTCATGAATTGTTCTAGAATTTTATACTAATCATGAGACAAAGATGCACTGACCAAATTTTACTGTGCCAAGTTTGTACTCTGAGCTAACAACGGTTAATCTGACACACTGCTCATTGAGCTATCTGGAACTCAATGTCGGCAATTAACTGTTGGGATATTTCATTCTACGATTTTTTGAGTTACACTATGAATTTTCACAAATTTTGTGTATACGCCCATCTTCTTTAATTTCAATATGCAAATTGTACAAGAACAATGACCATAGATTCCCCTTCTTATTACAAATTCTGCACTGAATAGTTTACAGGATTTCAAAAGTATGAGAATTTCTGCAAAATATATATCTATAGAAAATTTGTGGGGTTTCAAGACAGATATCTGGGATATAAAGTCCTCACAATAAAATGTCTTGACCTACATCCTTAACTTCTAGTGTCAGACTAATCCAAGAAGAGTCCTCTTAGACTAGCTTTATCCTAAAGACACACGTATTGAAAGCAAAAAATCAAGCCACTGACCATGTAATTTGCGGAATGTAATCAATGTAATAAATTTGGTTGATACTGATGCTCAGTAGCTGTGTACTGTAGTGCATGCTGGGGCAATTAGCAGCATACACAACACAACAGAAAACAGAAAAGTTCTTGGTACACATGTAAGGCCACACTGATTTAATTTTATGGATGACATCCTCTGAAGACCCTAAAACTAATGCGAGAGGGCCAAAAAAAAAAAAAACGGCCAAAAAAAAAAATGCTGCTAATCCCACAGGATTACGGAGCTTGGACTTCGGCCAAGGAGCTTCTGCTGCTTTCGTTGCAGTTTTGTCGACTTCAATGCGGACAAAGTAAACGGAACTGATTTGTCGCCTGACCGACTTTTAGGCCACCATACACCTCCACTCCTCTCCCATTTCTCTCATTGCAGAAGAAACGCGGGACAGCCACTCTGGACAATATGTTCTCAAAGTTGTCTGGGCGAAACTCGCTTGCCGCTACCGACCTCTCGTATAGCTGTGTAAACGTCTCCCTTGCCAACGTCAATTGCGTACCAGTCTACAAAAATCCCTCCGTTTCACCTCTGAACTTTTATGCTCACGTATTTTGGTGGTGTGGTCGCCATGTTGGATCATTTATGGCAAAATTTGCATGTTTTGAGGCAATCTCTTTCATATAGGTCTTTGCGCTTTACGTAACGCGCATCTAACTGTGCGGAGTTTGGTTTTGAGGTAGTCCAAAACGAGTTTTACGACAAGTCGGCGCTTTGCGCCAATATGAGTCGGCAAGTTCCGGACAGAAAACCAATCTGTGGAGACTCGTCGTCGGAGATTTTTTTTTTTTTTTTTTGAGTACAGGCGAAAACTAATGCACGCGCGGATGTCATCCATAAAATTAAATCGGTGTAGCCTAATACAGTTACCAATACATAGTTACAGATACTGTCTTCATGTTTTCACCGTGTCATATGTCAGAATCAGCATTTTCTATACACCAACACACTGTGAAGTCATATGTTTACATTTTTGCCAAATAGCATGTGAATGTGTGAATATAAAATGTAAACAATTGTGATAGCCTATATCCATGTGCTTTATACAAGTAATAAATACAGCCAAGACAGACAGACAATGCACTACCCTTGGCTGGCATGCATGGCAAGCATTCCCCAGTCAGCATGTATGATTAACCACAGCTGAACAAGCACTAATTAATACATTTTCCCACTCACCACATCCATATCTTCAATAATCTTTGTTTTTGAATGATTTAGACGTTCTTTCAAGTTTTCATAGTAGCTGTCAGGGATGACTAAAAATGGTGTTCCACGTTCTTTTAAATTTCCCACCGATTTAATGATGTCAGACGTATTTAATGCAATATGTTGTACTCCAGCTCCACCATAATATTCCACATATTCCTGCAAAATATAAACAAAGCTGTAAGGAATGCATACCGGATAAAGTTTGCAAGTTTGGGTTCATTTTCTGAACTTTTCAAGCTCTTGACGAAATGAATTTGTGTTGTAAAATAGCTGTGTTGAGTTCAACGTTTGCTCATACATGATAAAAATAGGTTACACAGTAGTTACGTAATTGGTACTGACATTGGAGTTTAAACTGAATCATATGTAAAGGTGGTATGTGTTGGAGGGTTCACTAGACTTTCACTTTAGTATAACATCATACCCATTGCAGAGCAAGCCATGATTTACCGGTAGTATAGCCCCCCCCCCCCATAAACTGAATAACTGTATGCGCTTTCTAACATGGTACATTGTGGGCTTGGATTAAGTGTGAGATGCTGTCAAAGAAATAAACAAATAGAATGAAGGCTTTAAATTTTGAAAATAAAATGGCCACCATTTAACCATCTTGAATTGGACATCAAATGAACGAGACATGATGAGTGGTCCATGTTTGACATTTGAACATGATTGAGCTAGACAAGCCAAGATATATAGGTACGATAGTATGCTTCATTTTCAATCCAAAACTAATCAGACCATCATAATCGCCTCCAAGCACTTATTTACCAATTCTTTTTTGAAATGCAATAATTGTATTGTGATACAGATGAAAAATTGGTTATTATGCAAATTAGGTAATTATTATCCATGGATTCCAACCTACAAATTAATTAGGTCTGTGTGCATTGTCCTAGAACATCTAGACACACACACACACACACACACAGCAACTCCCATTTTGTGCTTCTCATACAGAAGTAAAACAAGCAGCCTATCGGCTGAGATAGCTCCGCTGTTAGCAATGCACATTTCAATTAAAGAACTGAAGACATCATTAGAAAATGAACAATATGAATAGTATCAAAGCAATCGGACTTACAGTTTTCAACAAGAAGTCGAAAATATCACTTTTTACCAAAAATGACAAAAATATTCACCAAAATTAGAGAACTGAAGATATCATCACAAAATGAACAAATCTGAAAAAGGTCTACATGTAGTATCTATATATGTAATATCAAAGCAATTGAACTTTTGGTTTTTAACAAGAAGTCGAAAATATCACTTTTTACCAAAAATTACAAAAATATTCACCAAAATTAGAGAATTGAAGATATCATCACGAAATGAACAAATCTGAGAGAGGTCCACATGTAGTACCTATATATGTAGTATCAAAGCAATTAGACTTGCGGTTTTTAACAG